ATTTTCCTTCTAACTACTGTGTTAGTTGTGTCCCATATATTTTGATATTATTTGTTTTTTGGAGACAGAGTCTCTTTGTCATCCTTGGTAGAGTGTCATGTGTCATAGCTCACAGCAACCTCAAACTCTTGGGCTCAAGTGATTTTCTTGCCTTAGCCTCCCAAATAGCTGGGATTATAGGTGCCCACCACAATGCCTGGCTATTTTTGGAGATGAGGTCTTGTTATGGCTCAGGCTGGTCTTGAACTTCTGAGCTCAGGCAGTCCACCCACCTCAGCCTCCCAGTGTGCTAGGCTTACAGGCGTGAGCCAGTGCACCCAGCCTAGTTTGTTTGGTTTTCTAAGAAACCCCAAGTCATGTACAAGTACATCCCTCCCCAGTAGGTCCCACCCCTCACGCAGTGGCTGTGTGTATTGAAGGTCTCTTTCTATCTCTCTGAGAAGTGTACAATGGAAATTACATGAACTTTGGAGTGATAAAAACCTGGTCTGGTTCTCTCGACTTGCTTACTGACTGCCTAATTTTGGATGAGTTACTTTGCCTCTGAGCTTCAACCCCCTGACCTGTAAAATAGGGAAATATCACAAGTTTCTGATGAGGTGTAAATGGGAGCACTGGTTCTGACATACAGTGGATGCTCAACAGATTCAAGTGTTCTTTCTCTTCCTGGGTCTCTTGCTTAAGATCTCTTTCTGCTATTCTTGTCTGCAAATCCATCTTGCAGAGATATTCTTGGCAGGGCTTGCGGTGAGTCAGTGTGTGTGTGTGTGTGTGTGTGTGTGTGTGTGTATGCGTGCGGGTGTGCCTGTGTGCACTAAAGTTCCTGGCCTCGGGCCTGTGGGTGAGCTGTTCTTTTCTGGCCTTACAAGTGGCTCAGAGTAGAGCTTTGACTGGGACTGGCCAGAGGAGATGATGTAAATAGGGGAAAATGTGGGTAGGTCTTTCTGTCCCAGGGCATGGTGAGGTAGGGGTCCCTCCCAGGCCCAGCCTCAAACAGGTAGGCCTTAGAATTTCAGATACAGGGGGAATATGGCAGAGGGGAGTCCCTAAGCTCCAGGGGAAGGTGATGGAGAGGTGCGGTCAGTGCTATCCGCCCCCCCCCAGCTCTGGAGGAGCTTCCTCCTCTCCTGATTGGTGTTCTCCATCACGGAAACATTTTGGGAGAGTTTCTCAGCTAGGTCTGAGGCCTGAAGGCCTCCAATATGTCAGAGCAGGAGTCTGTGACTGAACTCTGCCGCTGTGTTCTCATCACAGGTGGTATAAGCTGCACTCCAAGGCAGGCAAGAAGGAGAAGGAACGCGGAGAGATCCAAATCGCCATCCAGTTCACCCGCAACAACTTGAGCGCCAGCATGTTTGACCTGTCCATGAAGGACAAGCCACGGTCCCCCTTCAGCAAGATTAAGGACAAGATGAAAGGCAAGAAGAAGTTTGATTTGGAATCCGCCTCTGCCATCCTCCCAAGCAGTGCCCTAGAGGATCCTGAGCTGGGCAGCCTGAGCAAGATGGGCAAAGCCAAAGGCTTCTTCCTCCGAAACAAGCTACGCAAGTCATCCCTGACACAGTCCAACACCTCACTGGGCTCGGACAGCACCCTGTCCTCGACCAGTGGGAGCCTGGCCTACCAGGGGCCTGGCGCGGAGCTCCTCACCCGCTCGCCAAGCCGCAGCAGCTGGCTGTCCACCGAAGGGGGTGAGCAGGCGGTGGGGCTGCACTGCCTGGGAGGGGAGGGCGAGGGTGGGGCCAGGGGCTGAGGTCCTTCTTCCTGCTGCTAAATCCATTGTGCTTCCTCTTCAGGCAGGGACTCTGTGCAGTCCCCCAAGTTGCTTACCCACAAGAGGACCTATAGTGACGAGGCCAGCCAGGTGCGAGCGGCTCCTCCCCGGGCCCTCCTCGACCTTCAGGGCCACCTCGATACTGCCTCCCGCTCTTCCCTCTGTGTCAATGGGAGCCACATTTACAATGAGGAGCCCCAGTGCCCCGTGCGGCACCGCAGCTCCATCTCGGGTCCATTCCCACCCTCTAGCTCTCTACACAGCGTCTCTTCCCGGCCCTCTGAGGAGGTTCCTCACTCCACAGATGACTCCTGGGGCAGAGGCAGCCACAGCAACAGCAGCTTGGAAGTGGGGCTTGGACAGGAGGATCTGGGCGCTCAGGCCAAAGTGTTGGCCATTGGCGCCAGCCGTCCTGGAGAGGTGGAGGGGTCCCAGCTTCTGGAGGGCAAGCCAGTCCAGGTCACCACACCCATGGTGGCCTCCTCTGAGGCTGCGGCAGAGAAGGAGGGAGCCCGGAAGCCCCGGATGGGCCTCTTCCACCAGGGGCTGAGTCGGAGTGAGTTGGGGCGCCGAAGCTCTCTTGGGGAAAAGGGGGGGCCCACCCTGGGGGCCTCCCCCCATCACTCATCCAGCGGGGAGGAAAAGGCCAAGAGTAGCTGGTTTGGCTTGAGAGAAGCCAAGGAGCCAACCCATAAACCCAGGTATGTCCTTGGCAAAACCAGCTTTGCTCTTTGGGGAAGGTGCTGTGGTATTTGCAGCCTGGACCCTGGGGCAGGGAGGATGGAACAGACGTGGTCCCTGGGCAGGCTGCTGGAGCTCTGGCTTTGCATGGTTAAGTGGGGGTGCCCTGTCTCCCTAATCCAAAGCTTGTTCTGTACATACAGACACAGGTGAGTTGCCAACAGCATGGTGCTCTAAGGGTCTCTTGGATTGAGGCATCAGCTCCTCAGTTCTGGGCCTTGCTGTGTGAGTTGGCAGGCCCACCTTGGGGGTGGGCAGGAGAGCAGGGAGAGGCCATTCGTATGAATGCTTTGCTTCTTGACCTCTACCTCCTACCTTCTGGCCTCAAAGTAAGGCCTTGGCAGGTAGAGATGGGGTCTGGGGGCTGCACTTTTAAAGTTAGCCCACTGTCTCAGAAGCTAGAGGACTTCCCCCAACTGGCTCTGTGATCTCTTTCCTGAGAGAAGAGTGAAATAATTGATGCCTCCCCACCCCCATACACTTACCCTCAGTTGGGCAAGAGACTATGGGCAATTCCTCTGAAATTTGTACCCTGCCCTCTGTTCTTGGAGACCCTTGGAGCTCTGGCCCTCTCTGGCATCTCTTGGTCTAGAGGAATGACACTGTCAGGGTGCCGGTGGCAGTGGCTCTGTTTTGAATGTGCTAAATCCCCAGCTCAGACCCTGGGCAGAGCCCCTGACTCCCACCCTGGTCCCTTTGCTTCCCCCTAATTCTGAGCCAAGGGAAGCTGTAGCATCATTGTGTGGCAGGGCCCAGGCACGGGTCACAGAAGTGTGTGTCTCCCCTTCCCCAGTTGGGTGTCATCTGTGGCATCCTTGGCCAGTGTGGCAAGGGCTGCCGATTCTGTGCTGTCAGCAAGCCTGCCCTCCTTGCTCAAGGACTGTGTAGACAGGAATGGCGGAGGAGAGGCCAGGCACAGTGGGGAAGGGCCAAGAGATAGAGCAGAGGGAAGACCCTAAGCCTGCTCCCCAGCAGAGGGAAGAGGAATCTTGTAGTCTGGCTTTTCACTTTCCCTGTGACATTCTGAGACTACTGAGAGGAGAGGGGAGTAAAATGCAGGCCTTTCTGGGTTTGCGCTCTGGCCAGCTGGCAGCCCTTGTTACAGCCTCATAGACAAGGGATGCATGCAGTGGAACAATTTCTCCTTGCTTAGTGCAGCAGCTCTCCTCCCTATTGCCCAGCCCCTATCACCAGAGCTCAGGGGAGCTGCTGGCCATATGTAGCCTCAGGGAAGATGGAGAGAAGGGATGGGCCTGGTGGCCGCACAATGGCCAGAGGTGTTTGGAGGTGGCGGAGTGGAGGGAGGTGGCAGGAGACCTGGGCAGGGTACTTGCTGGAGGAAACTGGGGCCTGGGTCAGAAGGGGCACAGACTATGGGCTTGGTGTGTTCTATAGGGTTTCTTTGGGCCTTTTCTGGTGGATACTGGGGACATCTTTGTGTGAGGCCAGGCTTTGGGCTTAGACTCCTGCTGCTATGGGTTCTGTGGACTGTCACTGCCCTGAGGGACTATAAGTACCTAGCTTCCTTTTCCTGTTTCTCCATGTCTCCTAATGACCTCTCGGATCCAGAGAATTTGGGTTATAAGGAAGCTGAGGTTTTTTTTTTTTTTGAGACAGGGTCTCATTTGTCGCCCTTGGTAGAGTGCCCTGGTGTCACAGCTAACAGCAAGCTCCAACTCTGGGCTCAAGTGATCTTCTTGTCTCAGCCTCTGGAGTAGCTTAAGACTACAGGTGGCCACCATAGCACCTGGCTGTTTTTAGCGATGGGGTCTCACTCTTGCTTAGGCTGCTCTCAAACCTGTGAGCTCAGGCAATCCACCTGCCTCAGCCTCCCAGAGTGCTGGGATTACAGGTGTGAGCCACTGTGCCCAGCGGAAGCTGAGGTGTCTGTTCTGCTCACGTTGAACTCCGAGCCTTATCCTCTGTGGGCTGGAGGGCACTCAGGCATCCCTGTCTGAGGTGCTTATTTGCAGGTGATTGTAGGACAGGCTCTGTGACTGCATCCAGGCCAGGTGGGAGGGCTGTTGTTTGGGTGAAGTGCTGTGGTCTGGAGGGATGTGAAACCTGGACTTTGACCTCTGTCAGCAGCACCCTGGCCTGGTGTCCCTTGCAGGGAGGGGAAGGCTGGCCTCGTACTTTTGAGAGAGAGAGGTAGGCTAGCTCGCAGTAGGAAGCTAGAGGCTAGACCCAGACCTAAAGAGATTGAATGTAGCTGCAGGATTTTTAGTTGGGGTTTAGGGAGCCTGTCCACAGGTCCAGAGATCTGGGGACTTCTGCCCTGGGGCTGCCATCGCAGATTCCTGGATGTGCCTCAGTAGCAAGGGCAGCAGTGCCCTCTAGTGCTCCCATGTGGCAATGATACCTGAGAGAGGCCCAAGGCAGAGTGTGGTGAGTGCAGTACCCAGAAAGAGGCTGCTGCTGTTGGGTGAGTGCCATGACTGGAAGGAAGAGACAAGGGTGTGAAGAGCTGAGAAGATGGTTTTCAGCTCTTCTGAGATGGCCCTCATCTGCTGGGTCCCCAGGTGGTTATGCTATGTCCTGACCAGTGTGTGGTAGAGGGGGGAGTGGATAGTTGAGACTAAGCCCCATCTGGGCCACAGGACTCATCCATGCTCCCCGGCCCTGCTGTGAGACATCCACGCTGAGCTGCCCCACTGGCCACATAGTGAGTTTGAGGTTGGGCGAGACCATAGGTGTTAAACCTGCCAGTGCTAAAAGTGCGTTGTCTTTGCATCTATCCTGGACCATCCTTGTGCCCCCCTGCCCCTCCCCTCACACCATGGAGCTCTGTGCATAGGGGACCAAATATTGAATACAAAAATGTT